TGACAGTAAGAATAATGATGAACATGATGAACGTTGTTACAACTGATCCCTCTTGTTGTGGGAGGTGGAGACTTGATCTGTAAAGTTTGTAAGTTAGGGGAAGCATTTTATGGGTTTTTTTAATTGTTTGTTTTTTGCCACTAGAATACGCCTTGAGTTTAACATAGGTAATTACCTGTTTGAAGTAGGATAAATAAAAAGAATGAACTTTTCTCAGCTGCACTGTGAAGGCAAGAAAAGATTTCAACCCATTAACATTGTTGCACCATATGTCCATTAACAATTACTTTAATGTTGTCTCTCACGCTTATCAGTATTGCTAATTACGAGGCATTCTTTGTGGAGTGCCATCAGTGCGCTCAGTGTTGTAATCAAGCAATCAAGCCTGAACTGGGAAAGGATGTTCTCAAGTTGGAAAAATTAGCTCAAAAACAGAATAGGAATTTGGAGCTACCTACTTTCCTGCTCTAAAGCTTCAGGCAGAGCTTCCACCAGAGACCAGCAAGGAACCATTGCAGGGGGCCTCATTAAGAGCTCAAGTCAGCAAAGCACTTGAGCATGCGATGAGTCAAAAGGATTTAATAATTCACTTGAAGTGCTGAGGCAGGGTCTCAATCAGGAAGATTGTACTCTTTGGTCATTTCTCTGGAATATCGTCTTTTCTGAAGTGAAGGAAGGGAAGAGTTCAGGCTTTCTCTAAAGTCCGTTGTGCTAAGCATATTATCCCAAGTCCTATCTTCTAGCAAATTTACCAATAAAGATAACTGAAGTGATTTATTAAGCTACAAGAATTGTTCAAAAATAGTCACTTGTTTTCTTTCTCCTCTCAAAATATAAATAATCTTTGAAGAAAAGAAGATAATTTTCCCATTATTTAAAAATAAGCCTGTTGCAGCCCACTGCACAAAGTGATAGTTTTACACTCTAATTTACTTTTCTTCAGCATAGTTTAAACTTCATTTTCATACTAGCTCGTACTTTACAATTGCTTCTAGTTACATCTTCCCTCACTCTGCTTCAGTTTTCCCACCATTTAAATGGAGGAGACTGATGTCAGTATCCCTTGTGCCATAGTCTGACATACAGAGTTCAACGGGCTGCATGTTGTGGAACAATATGTCTGAAATTAAATAAATGAATAAGAATAAATAAGGATAGATAGATAGATAGATAGATAGATAGATAGATAGATAGATAGATAGATAGAGTGAGTGAGCAGAAAAACAATTCAGGATAGATTGATTACAGGGGAAAAAAAAAGCCCTTAATTTAAATCTTAGTAAACCAGGTGTTATTTATAATTTTTTTTCCTTAGGTAATTTAATCACTTCTCAATAACAAAACTGATTATTTAGCCACAGAAAGTTCTGCTCATAGTAGTCACTTTTATTAATAAGATCTAGTCTGATCTGATTAGAAAACAAACTTCAGGAACATCTCCTATTAGCTTCCATTCATCTCAGCAGCAATTTAAAGTGCAGCTGATGCCTCATAAAGAAAAATAAAATACTAAAAAAGAGAACAAAGCACCATCGTGGAACATTTTACAAGCACTCACACTAATATATTAGTTATTTATTTTTGCCGTATTTTCTCCTTACTCCAAGTTACTTAAAAGATAAACATTTGTAGATGACAAGGACGTCAATATTGCATCAAAACAGAGATGAGCAGCTGCCTGGAAAGGATGAGGAATTTGCATTATGAAGGGGGCGTGTAAATCTTGCATCGAGCTTTAAACGAAAACACTGTTTAAACCAGGTTTATCATTGAAGTCCTGACCAATACAGTCCCAAAGCAGGTACCTTTCTTCTTTCTACGCAAAAATTACTATTTTAAAATAAAGCGGTCTACCAGTGGAATAAAGCAAGGATCTGTACCTGATGGAGTACCAAAACCATGGTCGCAGTTCTTGCTGCTGCCTTACTGTTGACAGCATTGCTTTCAACCCTGAGCATGTGTCGTTTGGAAATACAGCTTCAGGCTCCTGCCTGTAACACTTATTTTCTTCTCTCTGCTGATTTGAAATGTAGGGGACTCCTGAGCATGGTGAAGTTGTGTTAGCAGGTAGACGTTTTGTATACTGACAAGAAGAAGAAAGGGGAAAAGAGATTTTATGGAGCTGGTGATAGACATCAAATGGGGGAAGGGTGGAACAGGGTAGAGAAATTAAGTCATCGCAACTTGCCCCAGATTTCAGAAGAAAGGAAGATGCAGAATCTCTATCTTCTTGTTGTTGGATTTTGTCTTTGTATGTGTGTTCTTAAGAAAATATAACTCACGGAGCCACACCAGTTAATTAAATGTCTAACTTTTCCCTCAGATTCGGCAGTTTGCATAAAAAGCAGAGAAGTGCTACTAGCAAAAGGCTGCTCCTCCTGCAGAAGACACTTGCAACACAGGATTCAGCACTAAACCAGCTAGGAGTACAGCTTGCCTCTCCTCCCAGCCACAAAGCTCAGCAGTTGCAGCTCTTTGGGGTACAATGCTGCCTCTTGACCAACTGCTTGTAACTGCTTTCATCCTCACTCTGGTACCCAATTAGTACCTTGTTAGCCACACACCTGCAGTGCCTTCACCCTGAGGTCATTAAACCTCATGGGCCTGATTCTCCAATCACTGCTCCAGCCCCAATCAGAAATCACTCCAGTAAATCAACAGCCTTAGAAGAGCTAAATAAAAGGGGAATGAGGTGATCTGCAACATTAACCCTTTTCCTCTCTGTTTTTTTCAGCATGTGCACCCTTTGGCCATGTCACTGCTGTGAAAGTAATTAGCTAACAAAACATTTCTTCTAATCAAGGCTGGGCAAAAGCAAGAACAAATGCAACTCTCAGGCTATTGTACTGTTTCTCCAAATCCTTCTGGAGCTGTTACATCCCAGGAAGAGTACTCAGGAAACTTGACTGATGTAGTAACTGAATCAGCAGTATGCTAAAAGTTGTGCATCTAAATAAGTCATTCATGATGGCTGCTTTGTGTTTTGGCCTCATCAAAATTCAGGCCTACTACAGCATGGGGAGAAAAGCTCTGGGAAGTGAAATGAGAAGAGGGAGAGACAAATGTAAATAGAAAATGTGTTTCTGAATTGTGCCATGGGGACTAGTCTGAATATAAGCTACTGGTAAATGATGGTGTTTCACTCAAAGAAGGATATTGTCCAGTGGTGCTAATATAAAGAAATAAAGTTTCAAAGAATTATCACAGCATAATATTGACTCAAAAGCCCTGTCTCCAAGACTTCAGCTAAAAGAAATCTCCTCAAGAGAGGTGTATATGTAGCTATGAAAAGATAACGTTACTACCTACATTTCAGGACCAATATTGCACTAACTTTTCATCTCAGTAAATTCAGTGTTTGATGCAGTAAAGTCCCATACATGGCTAGGGGGAACAGAAGGGAGCATAATCTGTTTTAAAATATCTGTGTATCTGGCACAGAGGACGGCTTGAATTTGAGAACAGATAGCACAAATAGTGCATATGCTTTGTTAATGAGGGATGAACAAATGGGCATAAATGAAGGAAAAATCCTGCTTTTTAACATGCAATGGTTAGTGTAACTCTAGATATACATTATCTTCACACGTATGAGCAAAAGATGATTCTGAAAAATATGGTGGAAAGGAGCATTTGAAAAGTACACTGTTCCATTCGGAAAGACAGAATACACAAACCCTCAGAAAGCAGGCCATCCTCATAGTGTTTCTGTCACGTCATACAGACCCAGCAGGTTTACAGCATTTGGATGAAGAATGCTATTCCATAAGTTTCCACTTGAGACTTCTGAGAGACTGTTCTGAGAAACACAAGCTTTAGTGATCTGTAAAGAGTACTGTTGCTTAATGATCAAAGTTCTGTATTTAACACTTTTAGGTTCAAATCTTGGCCACATCTGCTTTGCTAAGGTCACTTAGTGAAAGTCACACCATAGTTTGTACAGACCTTGAAAAAGTCCCTGTGGTTTCTTATGTCTACAGTTGTATGGAGTGAATTTGTTTTCAGGAAACGAAAAGAGAAAGTAAGACAGGATTATTTGGCAGCTATTTAGCTCAGGTTTGGCCATTTCACTGACAAGATCTTGAATTAAATGTAATCAGTAGAACTGCTATTAGTATCTATGCTTATGGCTGCAGTCTCAATTATTTAGAAAGAAATCAAATGAGTGACATATTCTGCTTAGCTTTGATGACCACGAGGAAGTAACTGCTGTTTATAAAAGCACTAAAAGTGTAAATACCTTGGAAGCAGAAGAATTTCTGAGGCAGGCAAAACTCACAAAGATGTAGGGCTAAAAGGAGAAAGAAACAAGGGTAGGCCAGGCTGAGAAGCTATTTCCATAGCTTTTGAGTTTGCTAATTTGAATTGCTGGTAAGAGCACACTCTTGGTCTGTTACAGTAATGCAGCTGCTTTTATGGATCAAGTGGATGACTGCAGTCAGCAGATACCCTTGTGACTTCTCTCTGTTTCAATACTAAATCTGTTTTATGTCATAAGGAAGTCAGCAGGACTGAACTTGCGCAATCAGTAAAGGTTGGATCCAGTCTTACAGCTAGGAATCTATACAGTGCCATGCCATATTCACTGGAGAATTAGTGTAATGAAAAAGCAGTTTCTAATAGGTCTTTTCCATTACTGATTTTCTGATCTTTTTGTTTTTTTTCTTTCTTTTTTCAGTTCAAGTTTACTGCAAAGTGGAAAGCTGAGGCAGGTATTATGGTAAGGCAGCCTCTACCATAGCATTGCTGCTCCCTAATGCTAGATTTTGTCATTATATTCAATGTATCTAAAACTAATCTCCACTATAGGTAACTTGCCTATTGCAGGGACAAGAAAAAATAGCATTTTGAGTAAGCTAAAGAAAATTCATGTAAAAATGTAAACTGATGTTATTAAGTTAGTTGTTGATGCAGTAGAAGCTTGTTTGTTTAGATAGTTGGCTGTGGTCAAATTAAGCATGCCTGAAATTTGAATGGAATCACAACTTAAATAAAAGATGACAAACAATTATATCCCACATTTGCTTTTGTGCTAAGGAGAACTGTGACATTTCATTCTGAGTAGCTTCTCAGGCGATGTAAGGCTGTGAAAAATTCCATTCCTCTTTTTCTTGAAGTTAAGACTGTGTGAAGTTGAAGCTTTCTTTCAGAAGCTTCTTGTGAAGTGGTAATGTAAGAAAAAGTATTTGTTACTGTGACCAGCTCACCCATATGTTATGTTGTTGCTTGCTGGATGCAAAGAGATTTTCAAACCCTATAGTTAACCCTTCCTTGAGGGGTATACTAATGCCAGAGCTCTCCTGTACCACGTGTCCAGACAAAAGCATCCCAGCTTTCATCCAGTCACGGGGAGTCAGTGACTCCATGCGTCCTCAATTCAGAAATTCCCTCATTATTTACGTCTTTTCCTTTTGGGTGTTGGAGATCTTTTTCTAATTAGTTCCATAGCCATCATTTTTAGCCAACATTTATTCAATGTCTGAAAGAAAAAAAAAACAACAAAACACCTAGTATTTTAACTGCTGGCTTCTCACCTTAGTTTTGCCTTACAGATAACTCTGAAAATAGCTCTATGTATTTATTGATCTGAATGATACTGTTGATCATTCCACATCACATCACCTCACTTTAAGATACACTATAGTGTGATGAATATACCATACTTCTCCCCTGTGTTTTTTGTGGGGCGGGAATGTTTTTAGCATAATTTTTTAGTAGAGAAATTAAAGACTGGCTGTATCTCATTGTATAATAAAATCATTTTACATCAGAAACTGCAACTCAAGGTATGGCTCAGAAGTCCTATGTGGTTTACTGTATAGGCACCTGTTCAACTGACAATGAGAGCTGACATTACTATAATGGAAATGCCCAGTGTATATTTATGGAACATTAATTCAGCCTATAATATTGCAGCTGTCAGAATCTACTGATGTAGATTTTATTTCATACATTTTCCTTTTCTTCCTTGTAATTCACTTTGAGATTTTTGTGTCAGCGCTTTAAAAGGAGATTAGTTAAATGTCCCATTTGAACTATTTTCTTTGTCTTCACATTCTTTGTCTTAATGAGTCAGGGTAAGCATCTCAGTCTTTTCAGAAGAACAGGCTCAATGAAAATATGACCTGTTTAATGCAATAGGCCTCTTCTGTCAAGCAAGAGGAATAGGGCTGAGATAATACCATATAAACTGACAAAAGAAGATTCCCATAAGTGGAGGATGCTCACAGACTTTCCTGGTCCCCTAGGGAGAGATTTGAATAATGCAAGGTTAAGGGGCTTAGCGTATTACCTCAGGACAGCTGATCTAGTCCTGCAGAGCAACATGATATAAAACACAGAAGCAGATCGGGATAAGAGGTGTTATCATACAAACAACGCTTGCCTCACTGCTATAACAGTGAGCACAAGGTGTAATGCTGGGACAAATGGATAGTGAGAAAACAGGAGGGAAATGCAAAGATCACACACTGGAACTGAGGAAAACTCAGACAAAAAGCAAAGGCACACGTCATTCAGGACACTGATCATCATGATCTTGAGTTCTGCTGAGGGACTATTAATCCTCTTGAGTAGTGTAGTGATGAAGTAAGAGCAGTCAGGGAGAAACAGACGTGTCAGGAAGACATTGGTCACTTAAGGAATGAGTTGGCTCTCAAGGGGCCCAGTTGTGCTTCAGAAGACAAGAGGTTGGATGCAACTGCAGTGAGCAGAAGTGAAGTCTTGCAGGCAGGCAAGGAAGGAAGCTGTGAGAAAGGGAACAATTGTGTTAGACAGGTGGGCTGTCAATACTGACACACAGGTTATGGTTGTCATCATAAATTGCAGCCTCACCAAATAAGATTTAGGCATTTCTAATAATAGAGTGCTTGTCTGCAATGCATCAACATATGACTTTATTGAGGTAAATGACAAGTTCCTAAGTATTCTTTGCCTGGGAGAGGGGTTTCTATGGCTCAGCAGCCTTTTGGACCCTCTTTTCTCTTTCATCTGTAATTCTTTCCTTATAATAGCTTATCCCTATCCACCACCCCTCTCTTTCACAGGTTTTATGTAAGTCTTCCTCAGTCATTAGATGTCATCTCTGCATCATTTGTGGTCTTCTTGAAAATTTGTCCTTCTGTACTCCTCACTTTCCACTATAGTTTTGAATTTTCACAACTTCCTGTTCACCTTTCTATCTTTGAGGCACTGTGTGATCTCATGAGGAAAAAAAAAATTGTCATCTTTATGCTTGATCATGTGAAATCTTCATGAATGCATATCAATATGACAGGAGTTTGCCATTGATTCATCACGTGACAAGATCACTTCTAATTCACTGTCTTTTACACATCTGACATGCAGATATAATTACATTTTAAGAAAACTATAGTACTATAGCATGTTATTTGTTGAATGACTTTGTCATCAGTACCACTTATCTGCAATGAAAAGGTAAAAACAAATGTATGACTGTCAGTCAACATAAGCTGGTAAAACTACTTTGCCTCAAAGAACCTGAAATTTGGACCCAGTAACACATCAACATCATGGGATCTTCAAGACTTCTGCAGAGATCTTATTTCAGAAAATAAGGTCAGTATTCTAGAGTTAGTGACACCCATTTTTATCAGATAAACCCGATGGCCCTTATCAGAGTCTACAGAGATTGACTGACTTATTCCGTCTTAAAAAATGAAAAGTGGGAGAGCATGTTCCTCATCAAAAGTTCTCATGGCATAAAAACATTGAGAAACCATCAGCTTATGTGATGTGAAAAGTAATTAAATGCAACAACAGCATGACATCAGCAGTGGATAATTTTCAGATTTTAAATGTCATTCCTTTTAAACTCACAGTTGTTTGAGGTTTTTGTCTCCATTTCACAAGATAGAGTACAAAACATTGTGACATGCTTAATATTTCTTCCGCCAAGCCATCCATTCTGATTTCATTCTCACCCTTTACAGAGTTGTTGATTTCAGCCTGCATTTGGCTGCCAAAAATGCGATTGCACACACAGCACCAAGAACAAAGTGAAAATGAATTATGCATTGGGAAGGAACTTACATTTGAGTCAAAAAACTTAAGACTTCAGCACCTTCAAATTACAATATATTTTAAGAGGGAATACATTTAAAGAGATAGCAATGGGCTGAGGAGAGAAAGCGTCAGCCATGTTGAAGCTTAATATAATTTATAGTAGCTTTCAATTATTTATTTTTAAGAAGCCACTGAACACACTGGATCTTTTCAGTGGTAATGTCAAAATATGGATATTGGGAAAAAGACATGAATAATTGTGACAGGTTGTTATGCATGATAATAGTATATGGGGACATTTAAAATACGGATCATTCACCAGAGCAAAAAAATGCATGTCATTTATTCTGAGAACACATGGCTGTGTACTTAGTGACTCTTCTTCTGCAATACAGAAGTTTGCTGAACTTGATTTTTGTTTTGTCTTTCTTCTTTTCCTGTTTGATTTAAAACTTTTTGCTTTGAAACAATGGCCAGGGATTTCAAACTTATTTCCCATGAAGACAAAAACCATCTAGCACTGCGTGCCAGGTAGAATAAAATGAAGTCTTTTAAAACTTTCAGTTCATGCAAACAACAATGTTTTGCTTTTTATTTATCCATTTTATAATACTATTTTTAAGGGAAGTGTGTGGCTTTTGAAGCCCCTGAATAAAGTTTGGAAAGTCTGTTTTCAGTTCTTTGACAGGCCTCTCTCATAAGAATGGACAAAAGATTCGGCACTGACTTCACAAAATGCTTTTTGATCATCAAGGTCCCTGTTTTTGGTCATCAAGGTCCCTGTGTTTTTGCTTTAATACCATAAGCACCAAAATAATGGATACTTTGGTTTCTGCCTACAGAGAGATGCAAGATAATGAACTCCTATAGCTATTTACCTAGGATCCCAGCCTGTGCTTAGACCCCAGAAGGATTTTGAAACCAGGAGATTGATTGAGGTGCCTACAGCTGCCAATATAAACATAAACAGCCCTGCAACTCCTGCATCCTATCTGACAGCTGCAGGCAGATCTTAGATGCCTTAAGGTAGCCATTTAGACAATTTTATTTAGTCATCTGTGTCTGGCTAAATGTGTCCTGTCTTATACAGGCCATTCTTCTCAGCAGTTTCAGATGGTGCTTGTTGGATTAGTCTTACACAGAAAATTCCTGGGGACAGTAGAGCCACATTTCACAGACCACATGGTTGCTCATACTCGCGTTGAGGTTGCTCAAAATGCTAGTTTCTACAGTAATGAGTTTTATTTCCTTTGGCTATTACTGGCATTTGGTCTATTTCTTACTCATATGTTTTTCTTACAATCTGGAAACAACTTATTTGGATTTGTCAAGTGACCACCTGTGGTGGCATGGCTCACCCTGACCCTCACTGAGAGGTTCCTTGCCATAACAGATAGTGATTAACAGCATGCTAAACTTTGAAATCTTAGCTAAGTGATATAAAGGATTGATGTGCACATAAAATCCCTTAGACATAAATCATTGACCAAGTCTTGGACTAGGAGTGGATCCAGCTGCATCTGGACTCCTCTCTGAGGAGAAGTTTAGAAGCAACAGGGACCTTTGTGAACTTCATGACTTAACAGAAGAGTGTCCCTGACAGTTCTGCCAGTTCTCTGTGTAGTAAATAATCAAGTGCACCTTGACACTGTATTGTCTTAAGCCACTGTCACATTTACCATTGAACTTTGTTGAACCACTGCTTTATATCAGTAACAGTTGCTTCTCTTACAAGTGGAGTGCATTGCTCCATCTGCAACACCACCTTTTCTCTCTAGTCATCACATAAGGCAACAGTTCAGTTCTGCCTCAGATTTTGCTTAAAAACTCATTTTCTGTGTGAACTGTGAGCCTCAGCAGATAGCATAGGTATACATTGCTTGTTCATTCTTCATTCACTGAAACCAGCTGTACCCAGTATACTCCTTCGAGATACTGGAATCTGAGATTTGAACGGATCTGAATGAGTTGATAGTAATCTTCCAAAATTCAACAATGCAAAGTCCTACACTTGCAAAGGAAGACCGCCTTTCAGCAGTACAGGATGAAAACAGACAGAACAAGAGTCAAATCTGTGGAGAAGATTGGATTAGACAAAACCCTGAGAAACTATGTCTAACTTCCGAACTGACCTTCCTTTGGGCAGAGGTTTAGAACCTCGTTACATCCCTTCCAACCCAAAGTGGCCTATGATATGGAAAAAGTTTATAAATTCAGAAACCTCTAAATAAGTGTCCAACACGTATTTGGCAGTTCTGGGTTGATAGTTATCTGTCCTACTGAGGCTGATCATAATTAGCATATTTTAAAATAACTAAAGTGATAATTAATGAAGTAATTCATATAGCAGGAACAAGCACTTCCTCCTTCACTGATTTCTATGCCTTTCTTTCACTGTCCTTCTCTTTTCTTTTTCTGACTTCTCACTAAGATAGAAATGCACTGAAGAGTACCTGATCTCTCAGTGGAGATTCCCTTCTGAAGTACGAGAGTTCTTGTCTCACAAATTAAACCCTGAGTATTTAAAGAAAGGTTTTTCAGGGGAAATTTTACAACTGTTGAAGAGCTAAGGTAGAGTGGATAAACGTGTGCTTCCTTTCCACATTGATTGTTAAGAAAAAAAAAAACAGGACACAATATGTGAATCTTTTAGAGTGTTCATGGTTTTCAGCAAACCACTCAGATTTTAGTTTCTGAAAATCCCATTCTTATGTATCTTATTGTATAAACGCCCCGCTTGCCTTGAAGCTATGACATCAGGCAAGCCATAGCTATAAGAGTTCAATTAATGTCACCACTATCATCATTGCCAGTACTAAGGATTCCATCTGATAACCTTACCCTTGAGTTTTTTTAAGAAGCAAAGGAAATAAATAGTTAGTTCTAGGGTACCTTGTTCTTATCCAGAAATCTAAAATATATTAGCTGAAGAACCTTTCTCTGTAAGTGTGGGGTTTTTTTTGGTTTTATTTTTCCATGGAGTATAAAGACAACCTTAAAACTAGTTGACGAATAAGCATAAAATGTATAAAAATCTAAAATTAGCTGAAGTAAATTATTCTTTATTTCTTGTGGATTTAGCTCATTCCCAGAGGTGGACTATGCTTACTTTGAATAGAGAAGTATAAGGGAGTAGTGTGAGATATTTTTGTTCTTTTTTGTCATTTAAGACTTTAAGAAAGCACTGCTCTGAGTTTTATACTTTGGGAGTAAGTTTGCTTTGTTTTGTTATCTTCTGCTTTGTTTTTTTTTCTTGAGAGGGAGAGGCTACTGCTGCTAGGTTCCACTGTTCTGTCAGCTGCCATACTGGCAGAGACAAGGAAGGGCTAGAATTGTTGAAATGTTGAGTGATTCAGTTCTGCAAAAGTACGTACAAACCCCTTTCACATGCAAGGACAAAATAATCTTCTTTTTTGCTTTATCAAGCTAACAGAACTGGTTCATACATATATGAAATATCAATATTTCTGTGCATACCAAGTAGCCATGTTTGTGTATGAGATGAAATTGCTGCTTTTCTGTTAGACATAGTAGGGAGTGTCTGAAGACATTGTAAACTAAAGAGGAAATAATTTACTAAGCATTGTGTCTTAAGTGCCTTATAGATTGTTTAGTATGATCTTGTCTGATATCACAACAAGAACATGAGGAAATGGGAATTGTCTGATCTTTGGTTTATATGCAGAACTCTTTTCTTACGGAAGAAAAAATGTCTCAAACATAAGCCAAATCCTAGATCTAAGTAGCTTGTTAACTCTTCATTCTACACTGGGGTTGTCTTTTTTGTCTATCCAGATTTATGAAATGAAGATAATTCTGTCTGACCATCAGTCATGAAACACAATCCATGGTGGAGGACATGAGTGCCTCCTTTTGTTATGGGTTTCCACAGTGAGTAATGTTTATGAAGAAAAGTAAAATAACAGCAATCAGGTGCTGTTTGAGTACATCATCTAAGAAAAGAAGGAACAAACAAGTTATACATATCTTTGGGCATGCTATGCATACTGGGGAAGGGATTGCAGTGATATCTTTCTGGCTGTCCCCACAAGCATATGGAAAAGTGAGAAAGTGAGCAAGCAACAGACATCTCACCTAGTCACAGCCCTCCTTATTTCTCCTTTGCCCCATTTCACAACAACAAACAAACAAAAACACCCTCAAAACAGAAGGAAACAGTTCCTCGCCTTCTACCAGGAGCCACATAGGAACAAATACTGGGCTCAAAGTCGAGAACTGCAACAGATTGATATAAGGATGAAAGGTAAATAAACCCTTTTTTTCCTTTCAATACATTACTCTGTTGTTCCTTTGTGGGAAGGGAGTTAGCTGACGCCAAGCTGTTTATCTTCTTCCAACACAGATGAACTATAGCCACTCTCATTCATCACTCAGCCCAGGAGTGCTGCACGTGTGAAAAGACTGCCCTAGAAAGCTTGGGCTGGATGACAGTAAGAATTGTCTAGTTTAGTTTCTTAATAAGGCAGAACATTTAAATGCCACTGCTTAATAGTGCTGGGTTTGCTAAGGTTTGCAATGGTCCACCATGAACAAAACCTGCTTACAATCTGAGAAAAGCACAATTTTGTCTTTCTCCAATATCTGACCCTATGAGGCATCACTTGCAAAGTGGATCCTTTAAACCAAACACCTCACAGACGAGCTTTCCTGATGATGTTCAATCTGCATTCTGAGGTGCTAGTCTATGCTTAGCAAACTTCCACATTTTCATCAAGAATCTTGCAAAACTCAAGGTTTAATGGTCTCTCACACTCATTTTCCTCAGGTGACTCTACCCTTCAGGAAGATTTATGCATACCTGTCAAAAGCTGCTAGATTTTCCTCTCTCTCTTTCTCCCTGTCTCTCTCTTCTTCCTGCCCCTCAAGTTTCAGAGCTGGTTGTCA